GGCTGCAGACCTGGGGCTGAACTGCCGGGACCTTCTTAGCACAGGTGCCGGCCGATCCTTGCTGGCCCTTGTGCTGTGCTTGGAACTTCCTGGGGCCACTCGCCTTCATGTGATCAGTGTCATCTTTGTGGCAAGCCACCCTCTGGGGGCCCCGACTTGGCTGGCAGGCTGGACCCCAGACGTCACAGGTGGGCCCTGGGGCTGTCAGAACACCCGCCCATGTCCTGCCTGGAGGAGGCTGCCAGTATGCTCGGCCCCTCCCACCGCTCTCCCCCATCACCCGGGGCTCGGTTTCTCCACCTGTCCCCGAGCCTGGTACACAGTGGGTGTGAGTGTACCATGGACTTAGTTGGGGAAGGCTCTTGGAGACTGAAGAGCCCCTTTACAAGCTGGGGTGTCAGAGGACCCCTAATTTGGGGTGATGAAGCCAGCTGGCTGCAGTGGAAGGGGGGGCTCCCGCTCTAAGGGCAGCCTGCCAAGTCGCCTGGGACAGGTGTGGTTCTGACACGTGGAATGGGGGTGGGTGAAAGGCAGGCCCCAGGGCTGACGCCTCCCCAGGACAGATGAGGAGAGCCGGGGGCAGGGGAAGCTACACGGGACCAGTGGGGAGCTCAGGAGGGCGGCATGGTCTACGCAGGTGGCACCAGCATGAGCCATCTCCCAGGCCGCTGAGCTCGTGTGCACGGGAGGCTTCCAGCCACCGCCAGCATTCAGCTCCCACTCTTGGCCCCCATCTTAGTGGCTCCAGGAGCTGCCTAGAGAAGACGGGCAGAGGAAGCCTGGCGTCCTGGCCCCGCTCCGTGGAGGGTGGCGCTGAGCCCGGGGCAAGGCTGGGCTGCAGCTGGGGGCTCCGGGCTCATATCACCCCTCCCCACCATTGCAGGCTTCCCCCATGTCCTTGGGGCCTCAGTGACCCTTGTTTGGGTCAGAAACAGTAAGAACATGGTGGTGGGAGTGTTCACCTCCCTCCTCCCCAGGCTCACGAGGAAGGACCTCCTACCTTGGCCTTGATCCCCCTCCCTCAGTGTCGTTGTTAGGGGACCCCGCGTATGACAGAACCAAACACTACCCGGTCCTGCGCCGGCCTCACAGTCCCTGCTCGGCCTGAGGCCACCGCTGCACCCGTGTCATCTCTGTGGGCAGGTTCTCACCCCCTCCCTCCCCCGGAGGCAGGCCCAGAGTGATCCAGAGGCCCAGGGCCCGGCAGCCCCAAGCTTCCAGGTGGAACCTGAGCCTTGGACCGGGAGAACTTCAGCTCCCTGCCTCAGGCCTGAGGTCCCGGAGGCCACTCCCAGGTCACCAGAGGGGGCAGAGGTCAAAGTGCTGGGAGGCCAGTCCTCTCCAGGGGCCAAAACTGGACCCTTGATTCTTTCTGTCTTCTTTTGCTCCAGCAGGAGCTTTCCGAACGTATATATGGTGTATCTGTGCTTTAAATAGTTACCTCGGGAGAGTATTTCCTTTCAGTAATAACCCCTCCTCACCATGCCAGAGGGGAGGCAGGCCGCAGCCGTGGCTGGAGAGAGGCCAGAGTGACGGCCAGGAAGACTCCGCACGCGCCAGCTTAGGACCCGCCGGCTGAAGGACGCAGGGCAGCAGCCAGCACTTAGATTACAAAGGTTTATTTAGAAAATAGTTTGGTTGTTTTGCTGTTGCTTTTGGCAAACATTGAAAGACTTTCAGTAACCAAAGACTGTCAGGACTCGCCTTGGCCCTGCCCTGAGACGGCCGCCCCCGGCTCTGTCTTGGGGAGTCAGCCCTTGCTTAGACGTGGATACCGGGTGGGGTGTGTGTGTGTGTGTGTGTGTGGCTTTTCATCCGTCTGAGAGGCTGCGTCTGCAGCTACCATCTAAAACCCTGACCTCGCGGCCACCCTTGCCAGGGTCCCCAAAGCCGGTCCAGGCTCAGACTTCCAGAAGCAGCCCCTTGCTGAGGTGGGAAGGCAGGGGGGTGTCTCCCCTTCTCCTCCCCCCTCCCCAGAGGCCCCACTGTCTCTCCTTGCATGCCTCTCCTGCACGTAGGCCTCCATGCCTGCGCCCCTGGGTCTCTGGAGACGCTGTCCCCACACTCGGAAGGCAGCAAGCAGGCTGTGGCTGCCTCCGTCCCCCGCCTCTGCGCGCAGCCACATCCTCCAGCCGCCAGGCCTGAAGCGCGGGCCGTTCCAGGGTCGCCGGGGGCGGCGGGGCGCGCGGCTCACTGCCGGAAGCCCCTTCTCCTCCGCCGGAAGAGAATGTGCTTGAAGGAGCGGCGGAAGTCCTGGTTGAAGACGGTGTAGATGACCGGGTTGAGCGAGCTGTTGCAGTAGCCGATCCAGAAGAAGAACTTGAAGAGCGGGTCCGGCACCTGGCAGGCCTCACGGCAGATGCCGTACAGGCTGTAGCTGAAGAAGAACGGGAACCAACACAGCACGAACACGCCCATGACCACCGCCAGCACGAAGGTGAAGCGCTTCTCGCGCGCCTGGGCCACCTTGCGGCGGCACACGCTGCTGCGCGCTCGGCGCCTGCGCGACAGGAAGAACTCGACGGAGCGCGAGCTGGCGCGCGACAGGCGCCCGCTGGGGCCCGGGGAGC